CCCTTGGATTTGAACAGTGGGAACCACAGGAATGACAGAAGGTTAGAAGAGACTCTTACTTTCCTTTTTTCTATTCCTGGGTAGCCTCTGCTGTGACTGCTCACCTATCAATAAGCTCCAATTGGACAAACTCACTAAGGTTCCAGCTTACACCAGGGTACTTGGCTCCTGGGATCTGGAAAACTCCTCCTTTATCCTTTCAGCATATGAAGTAATTGCTCTCTAATACTGCTGGTCCTCAAGTTACCTTACTCTCCCTATTTGATTTCTTAATTCAGTCACCTTTATTATCAATTACCTTAAATTCTCACAGTGGTTTGTTTTTCTAGTTGGATTTTGATTGAGACAGTCATCAAAGTCCCAATTTTACAAAGTATAACTTTAATTTTGCTAAATAAAAATTAGCTAGCCATGCCTTTGCATTTATTATTGTAGGATCCAAAGCCATGATGCAATGATGGAATTCTTACATACCTTTTGATTGACTATAAGACACTATTGGGTGCTGTGTGGATGCTAACATACTCTAATTGACTTAGAAAAAAAATAGTGCATATAAATATACACACACACATATATATTTAACATATCAACATATTTAAGATGCCTCAACAAGTATAGAGAGTAAGAGGTATAAAGGTTTTTAAAAAGGGAGAGATTGGTAGTGGCTTCATGGGTTGTTAAAAATGAGAAATGAGTAGGAGGTTGGAGACCTGCTGGAAGTTGGAGCCAGGGGATTGACAGAAAATTGCAAATAGTAAAACAAACAAAAAAAAAAAAGTAAGAAAAAAGACACAAATAGAAAATTAACGTGTTCAGCCTAAATGTTGTACAGTTGTGTAAAGGAGTTATGAAAATAAATGCAGAAGAGAGCCCCCCCCCTTTGTGGTACCTGACACTTTAGGCTTCTTTTTAAAATCTTTTTTACCTTGACTTCTGTAATCTCCATCTCTCCAAATTTTGTTTGTCTCTCTGTCATTACTCTTCTTTCAAGAGTATTTCTCTGCCCACTTTATGAATGTTACAATTCCTCATGGATTTATTTTTTACCCTCATCTTTCAATTTATACTTCCTTTTATTTGATTTCAGCTCTTCTCATGGCTTCAGCTACCACCAATGTACACATTTATATGACCCTATTATATCTGCCTTTTTGAACTCCAGACCCAGCTATCACTTAAGGGCAGCTCTCACTGAATAGCCACTATCCAAAATACCATCATATTTCTTCAGGACTTGGACATTCCTTCAAAATCTGTGTATTCCTTATAAAATAAATGCCATTTTTCTTCATCAAATGACCAAGCCAACACCTGAGAGCATTCTGGACTCCTTTCTCAGATACATGCCACTCCTTCTTTATATCATAAATCTTATCATTATCATAACCTCTGCCTTAGCTTCAGGCCTTCATCATTGCTTACTAAATTTGTCTAGGGTTTTCAAAGTAGTCATCCTTCTTCTAACTTTATATTTTTCACAAGATTACTCCTACATAATCTTTCCCAAATATAAATGCAGCTGCACAATAACATTAATGCACTTAATATTTTGTGCTCATCAATTAGGAGAATTAATATTGTTAAAATGTCCATGCTACCCAAAGCAGTTTACAGATTCAATGCAATCTTCTCAAAATTTCAATGACATTTTTCATAGAAATTTGAAAACCAATTCTGTAATTTGCATGGACCCACAAAAGACCATGGAGAACCAAAACAATCTTGAGCAAGAACAAAGTTGAAGACATCATACTTCCTGATTTCCAACTATATTATAAAGCACTCGTAATCAAAATCAAATTGGTATGGTATTGGCATAAAAACATACACATAGATTAGTCGGACACAATAGAGAATCTAGAAATAAGCCCATATATACATGGTAAATTAATTTCTGACATAAAGCAAGAATATACAATGGGGATAGAAAGTCTCTTCAATAAATGGTGTTGGAAAAACTAGTTACCCACATGCGCAAAGAATAAAAAGGAATACTTGTATACCATTAATTAGAATGTAAACTGATAAAATCATTATGGAAAATAGTATGGAGGTGTTTGCCAAAGGTCAGGGAATGTGAGCAATAGGGAGAGGTTGGGCAGATATGGACTTTCAGTTATAAAATATATTAGGTCTTAGAGCCTAATGTATAACATGGTTGAATATAGTTGTTAATACTGCATTAGTTCTAGAAATTTGATTTGAAAGATTTCAATGCTCTCACCCAAAACCAAAAAGCAAGGTAATTTTGTGTGGTGATGAATGTGTTAATTAACTTGATAGTAAGAATCCTTTCATAATGTATACATGTATCAAATCATTGTTTTGTACATTTTAAATCTTACACTTTTACAGTTTTGGCAATAACATATCAATAAAGCTGAAATAATTTAAAAATTACTTTCAAAAAGTAATTTTAAAAATAACAAGTACCTCATTTATAAAAGTTGCATTTAAGAAAGTTATCTCTAATGAAAGGAAGTTTCCCTAAAGCTAGAAAATGACTTCCAAAAGTAGTCTCTGAACAGACTAAACCCTTGCTCCCAGTCTGCTTAGAAGTGAATACTTGTTGATTATTGCTTTATTCTCCTAACAAGGATTATTATTTTGTTAATGTTGTTGTTGTTGTTGTTTTGACAGTTTCACAGGCCTCGTAATGTTCCCTTATCTTTTTAGCAAGAAGAACTTTCTTGGGAAACTGAAGGATAAAAGCAAACTAGTGCTAGATTTCTGTTCAGTTTCATATGTAAGTTGAATTTGGTCTAGGATGACTTTTGCACTGTTGTAACTAAGATGGAGACTCAAAAGTAAATTAAAGCATTGTTAGTTTCAAATGGAAAATAAATGACAAACGATTATGATTTTTTTGCAATTTTGTTGTCATTTAATTTTCTGCTTTAACAACTTTTTTCTCTATTTAATTGAGAAAGCTCACAAAGGGAGATAATAATGCTGCAAATTAGTGACCGAATACTCTGTCATGAGCTCACTGTTTAATGGAGGAACTCCAGATGGTGATTGTTCTGCATTTTAGAAATGTTTTATACTGATGATGTTAAGGGGGGAAAAAGCCTTTATAACAAGTCTAACAAAATTTTTAGTCAAATGCCTGAATATATCACTTGGAAATTCTGTCAACTTTCAGAATTATTTCAATAAAATAGTGTTCATTATTCTGGTGGTTTTTATTAACCTGGACTTGTATAATTCACTTAAGTGAAGGATTAAAAGTTTCAAGAAAAAGCATGTAGTGCTATACTAGCCATATAAATTTCTTGTTTAGTTATCCAGGCTCTAGAACATCATTGGCATTCACAAATGTTTCTTATTTAATAATGTCATGTTGCCAGAAGTCCAAATATCGCCACTCAGAGCTATAATGCAAGTGTGCTTCTTTAATGAATGGTTCATATTAAAAATGTTAGAATGCCTTTCAGATGAAAAACACTTTAAATTCAACACATCATTTTTTTCTCAACAGGCAGGAACTCATTAACAGAATAATACTGGTAACTGAGGTATTTTTCAAAGGAAATAATATCCCCGATAAATGCAAGCTGCATATCTTCTCATCTTTAGAATAAGTAAACCTCGTTTTCATTTGTAAAAAAGGATAGTTTGTTTTCAATTTATTTTGTTGACTTTGTGAGCCAGCTTCTCTTGATATGGAGACAAGGGAATATTGAATCAACAGATCTTATTTGTTTATTTGTTTGTTTAGGGTTGCATGGCCTTCGATAATATTATGAAATACTTGAATAAAGATATTACATTTGAATCTGGGATTAAGTGGTGGATAATTTTCTGCTGACCATTTCCTCTTATGCTAAGCATTTATTTTGTTTTCTTTATTTTGTTGCCTTGTCTCATATTCACTGTCTGAATTGTTCCCCCCTACCTTTCTTTTCTTTCAAACAAAATCAAGTATGTCCTTGATGCACAGGCCCTAAAGTTATCTCCTCTGTAAAACTTTACCCAGGTTTTCACTTTTATGTCACTTTCTTTATTACTTAGTTTTGGTGTCTGAACCTTCCAATGGTAGAGATAATCTCATGTATTAAACCAGTACATAGCATGTACATATAAAATATATTTGGTTGTATGTTTTAATATTAAGTAAGTAATAAAATAACAGTGGCATGAGCTTTAGCATTGTCACTGGAAGAGTAAAGCTTGTTAATATTCCTTTGGTGAAGCTTGTTAATATTCCTTTGGTGAGGGCCTCCCCGGTGGCGCAGCGGTTGAGCACTGGGCTGCAAAGCTGCCTGCAGCCTCTGCAGTGCTGGTTCAATCCCCGGCCACCTGTGAGGGTCCCACATGGTGCACAGACCTCTCCTGCTTCGCCCGCTGCTCCCCTCAGTCTGCCTGTTCTGTTCCCCGCTCCGGCTCTGGTGAATTCTCTCACCCTCCCGCGCTTCTGACTGTACCCAGTGCTTGTATAAATAAATAAATGAATGAATGAATGAATAAATAAATAAATAAATAAATAATTCTTTTAAAAAAATTTCCTTTGGTGAGCACTGGGTATAACACACAGGCTGGATACTTGATTTTGACAAAATAACAAGAAGTTATCATCCTTTCTAGCATAGACTAATACCAACCAAATTGACTTAAGCCTAATATATAAGCCAGAATGTCAATTCACTAATTAATGATAGAGGTCATTCTGGTGTCTGAGAAAGCCCTCAGCAGATTGGATGATGGCCACCTGCACTGATGAGAGCTGTCATCAGTGTAAGTGTCCTTCCAGAAACATCATCATAGACATTATATTTTACCAATTCTCTTGGCATCCCTTAGCCCAGTCAAGGAAGTGCATAAAATTAACAGTCACAGGTTAGTTAACAGGCTATTGTTGAAAGTGATAATGAATAAAAGGTTAGATGCCAGAAATGAAAGGCTGTTATCTGTCAAATGAAAGAATTAGGCCTTTATCTAGGATAGTGGTGGTGGTAATCACTAGTAATATTATTAATAGTTAGACAAGTACTTACAGAAGTAGTAGTTGTAGTAGTAATAGAGAGGATTATGATGACAGAAGAAAACATTTATTAAGTGTTTACTAGGTGCTGGAATACTGTTGTTTATCTGGATCATTTTACTCAATCTTCACATTAACCCTTTTGAAAACAGAAAGTAATGTTATCCTCACTTTGTAGATAAGAAGACTAGACACAGAGAAATTACATAACTTCTTTAAAATCACAAAGCTAGGAGCGATGCTAGATTTTCAATGGACAGCACTAACCATCATTGCTAATCAATACAACTAATGATTTATACTTAGGCGTAGTGCTGACAAGTAGTCAGAATTCAGATAAGCTATGTAATTCCAGAGCTGATTAGTTCGGTATTATCAAGGAAATAATAACAGGAATGGAAGTAGAAGGGACTTTCAGAGAATGCATGTAAACTAGGAAGAATTAAATAAGAATTATTTTAGGGTGGTCCTGAGCAAATAATAATATATAACATTAGCACATTTTAAACTGGTAGTAAACGCCAATTATTATTTTAATACTGGTTGGACTTAGTTTAGAAAGAAAAACATCAAGGCTCTTGTCTTTATTTCCTTCATCTACACACAATATTCAGTGCTCTTTATTTTCTTATGGCAGAAATTCAGATAAACAACTATGTGGTCTAGGAATATAACTGAAATTTTGATCTTCTAATAACACTATTCACTATGCTGTGATCTATACCATATTTGCATTTAATGAGGAACATTACGCCTTGACTTTTTCTAATGATTACAGTATCTTTCATGAAAAGAAAATGGCTAGGAAGGTTAAAGAAAGGATATAAGCAAATGCTCTCACAAAGTTGCTGAAAAAGGAAATAGCTCTTTTCCTGGAAACCTTATCCAATAAAATTATTTTATTTTGGGGAGATTTGGGTAGATATTTGTCTGTCATTTTGCAGGGGAAATTTTAAATCGGCAATATCTCCAAAGACATGAGAGATTCCTGTTACGTATTATTGTTTATTTATTATGACATCCTTTTAGGGCATACTGGGGTATTGCATTATGTCTCAAAATATTGCATTTGTTATTATGTGAAACACTTGTTTTTCTTTGTAGGTTTCCAAGTTTGGAAAGACCAGAGTATTAATAATGAAGTCATCTCTCTGAAATAGTTTCTTCTGTACTCCGTATGCTAGGATGGATTTTCTTTTATGTTTATTCAGAGACTTCCTATTCAGTTTGTTATCAGTAATTACCCCCCAGTCACTTTTTTCATATCTAGTTTCTAGATAAAAGTTTCCTAGTTTATACCCGTATTGTGTATTTTTCATCCCTAAGTATATACCTTATACTTCTTTATATTAAATCTCATCTTAGATCTGTCCTCCCAAATCCCTAAGTTGTCATTATCCATCCATGTATTTGATTGGTCTTTATTTCTTTTCTTTTTAATCTATCCTAGCTTTGTATCATGTGTGAACTTGATCATACTTGAATTTACATTCTCCTCCTGCTCATTAGTGAATATGCTGGATAGACTAGTCCTCATCCCTGTGGGACTCTGCTGAGTATACTGCCGAGTTTCTCAGTTGTAGTTCTGTTGATCATAATTCATTTCTTTCTCCCCATCATAGAATTTTTTATCCATTGTGCTACAAACTATTATCCAGGCAACGTCTCTACCATCTCTACTTCCTGGATTCTCCTATGTCAATCATCTTTTTTTCTAAAATACAAATAGATAAAAGGCATTGTGTTCCCTTGTCTACTTATGCCATTTCTTAATTTTTTTCAAAGTCAATCTGGGGAAATACCCTTAAATAGAAATGTCTCAAAAATTTCCATTAAACACCAGTGAGTCTTTAAAAATATGTTGTGATAAATCATTTTGGAAGTCTTTCCTAAGTTTTTGCCTTCTCCATGTAAAATGGTCTCTAGTTAGGTGGATTTTCAGTAAAAAGAATAATTATTTCCCCATAACTGAGGAGATTACTTAAATGTATGTGTTTTTTTTTTTTTCTGAATATGGATTGTATCTCATTAAGTTGCTGCAAGGTAGCTTTCAGATAAGACATAGGTCATTTATAACTTTCTAAGCATTACACAGAGCCACATGTTATTTTTAAACTTGTATTTTTTTTTATTTTCAGGAAAAAGAAGACATTGAGGGGGTATCAGTAGGAGCTATACTTTCTGACTATCAGCGTGTTCGAGTAGAAAATGTGTAAGAGAACATTAATGTGTCCTATATTTTTAAAGTGTGTGTATCTGGTGGTGGGTGGGTGTGGTGACATACACCTGATGAGTGTGGCCTTATACCTGTAAATCCTTACAGGGTTGCAAACCAATGTCACCTCAATAGTATTTAAAAAATATACACATTTTAAGACTGTGAATAAAGAAAAAAATATAAAATTTTATCTAAAGGATAGATATGACACTCTATATGTTCAATGAAACTAAAATATATGCATTTGCCAAGTAACGAAAATCACTCTTTTGCTTTTTTCCTGTCCTTACTTCACATATAAAAAACACTACCTACCATTAGGAAAAATTATGATCAAAAATTGAAACAAGTTTTTATTTTTTTATTCTTCAAATTGTAGTAACATTAGGTTGACAATTTTTTTTTCAAAGATTTATTTATTTAAATATACAGGCACTGGGAATAATCAGAAGCGCAGAAGGGTGAAAGAATTCACCAGAGCCAGAGGGGAGAGCAGAGCAGGTAGACCGACGAAGTACTGCTGAGGGGAGCAGCGGGCGGCAGGAGAGGTCTGCGCACCATGTGGGACGCTCACCCCGTGCCCAGGGATGGAACCGGCACTGCAGAGGCTGCGGGCAGCTTCGCAACCCAGCACTCAACCGCTGCGCCACTGGGGAGGCCCGACAAATTTTTTTTTTAAATCAAAAATATTTTCAGTTACTTTCCATCCTTTTAATCTCATATTTGAGGGTCTCTAGAGTATGGAATGTAGACATGGAAGTGGAGGAGGTCAAATGTGTGTATTTTGAAAAAATTTTCCTTACATTCTGTCTGCCTGCATTTGAGATGAACTGATCAACAGGTGGAGTGAGATTGCTTACCACTTCAACCATGTGTTAAAAATAATATTATGCTTATCAAGTTTTAGATAATATTCTCTGATAATTATTTAGTTTACAAATTTGTATTTTTGAATAAGTTTAAACCCACATGATAGTGATATTGTAGATCTGACATATTTATGAAAGTTTGAAAACCAAATAGAAATGTGCTCCTGATAAGGAGGCCTCCTCATAGCTAAGAATTTTGTAGTAAGAACAGGAAGGAGTCATGCTTTTTATCAGTTAAAAAAAAAAAGCTTTAACTAAAAATGAGTAGAAAAGGTGGATTATTAAATATTAAATATTGATGAGATGACAGCAAGAACTGTATTGCTTGTATTACATGGGTTGTTTCAGTTTTATTATTTTTGTTCTTACTAACTTCCTCATCTTTGCTTGAGATGCTCTGGGACATTTTACAAAGGAAAAGTATATGAAAAGAAGGTTTGATGTCTTTGTTTTTTTAAAATATTTATTTTATTTATAAGAATTGGGGTACAGGCCAGATGTGCGGGAGGGTGAGAGGATTCGCCAGAGACAGAGTGGGGAGCAGAACAGGCAGACTGACTGAACTACACTGCTGAGGGAAGCAGTGGGCGAGACAGGACAGGTCTGCCGTGCATGTGGGTAGCTCCCTGGCCGGCCGGGTTTGAACTGGCACTGCAGAGGCTGCAGACAGCTTCACAATGCTGCACTCAACCGCCTGCACCCCCAGGAAGGCCCAGTTTGATGTCTTTGAAAGTCAGGGTATATGTAATGAAGAAAACAGTGATATTTTAAAACTGTGTATAAGCAAATGACTAAGCATATGATACATTTAATAAATACTGGAATTTTCTGAGAGAAGAGATCAGTGTGGATTGGAGTAGTCAACTGCACAAACCACATGCACTAGGAATGATGCATTTTGGAACTATATTTTTATTTCAAACACCTGTTTTCTCCAAGCATTATTATACATTCTTTATATACTTTACTCTTAATCAATAAATCCATTATAGTCTTCCCTGAGAAAGTGCCACTAAGCAAAGGCATGAGCAAGTGAAGAAAGTCAGCGGTATAGCTGGGGAGAGAGGGGCAGGTTGGAGTGAGAAGAAAATAGAGTTGAGGTTTGAAACTAACCAGGACCAGATCCGAGTAGGTCTACTGCAAGGACTTTTACCAAGAGTGATGGGGAGGGTTTTGAGCAGAGGAATCCCATGGCCTGTTTTATGCTTTGAAGGAAGCACACTAACAAGCGTATTGAGAACTCATTTTAAAAGGTAAGAATGGAAGCAGGGGAAGAAGTGAGGAGGACATTGACATGCAAGATAATGGAGACTCAGACTGAGATGTTATTAGTAAGAAATGATTCATTATTGTGCAAAGATTGGATCTAGAATGTAAAGTAAAAAGAAAATAATGAATAACTTTACTTTCTACACTTTTAATCATGTGAAAGAATGTTTTTATCCTTAGGAAACTAAAAACCTTGAAGTCCACTAAGTAGTGAGTACAGAAGTAGGTTTGAAACTCAGATTTGTCTTGACTTCCAAACCCATATTCTTTTTTCTAAATAAATTTATTTTAATTTTATTTTTTTATTTATGCATACAAGAACTGCGGTATAGGCCAGAGGTTTGGGTGGGGCAGGGGAGAGGATTCACCAGAGACAGAGTAGAGAACAGAACATGCAGATTGATTGAAATACACTGCTGAGGGGAGCACCATGTGGGTAATCTCCCTGGCCGGGAATGGAACTCATGCTGCAGAGTCTGCGGATAGTTTCATAGGCTGCGTCTTAATCCCTTGCGCAACCAGAGAGGCCCTAAATTTATTTATTTATTTATTTATTTATTTTAAATTTTTTTTTTTTTTTTTAATAGAGGCATGCTTTTATTTATTTATTTGTTTGTTTGTTTTGTTTATACATGCACTGGGTACAGTCAGAAGCACGGGAGGGTGGGAGAATTCACCAAAGCCAGAGCGGGGAGCAGAGCAGGCAGAAGGACCGAAGTACACTGCTGAGGGGAGCAGCGGGCGGCAGGAGAGGTCTGCGCGCCTATTTATTTATTTTTTAAGATTCATTTATTTATTTATACAAGCACTGGGTACAGTCAGAAGCGTGGGAGGGTGAGAGAATTCACCAGAGCCAGAGGGGAGAGTAGAGCAGGCAAACTGATGAAGTACATTGCTGAGGGGAGCAGCGGGTGGCAAGAGAGGTCTGCGCACCATGTGGGACCCTCACCCGGCGCCCAGGGATTGCACTGGTGCTGCAGAGGCTGCGGGCAGCTTTGAAACCCAGTGCTCAGCCGCTGCGCGACTGAGGAGGCCCCCCTAAATTTATTTTTAAATGAAGTACCTTTTTCTTATATCATTAGTAATTTTGGGAGAGCATATGATTTCCCCCATTGGGTATGGTCACTGTAGTTCTTCCAAGCACCCATACTCTATCACCATAGTTGTTTGTGCTCTCCCACCACATCTCCCCCCGACCACACCACAGATATATAGTCAGCTAAAAAGTTTGTCTGACACTTTGCAAACCCATATTCTTTATCCTGCACGATAGTGTAAAATATGTTATACAGGGCCCACACATATTAGATGCTCAATATATTATATTTTTTGTTCTTCTTATTTTCACTCAAATTCTTAAAAAATATTTTGAAGGTAGTTGATAAGATAGTTCATAAAACCATAGATATTATAAATTTACTCAAAACATGATTATTTTGTCAAGATAAATTTGTTTGCCTATTTTGCATGTGCTTCACAATTTTGATACCTAAGGAAGTTCTAAAACTAAGAATAATCATCCATTAGCATTTGGAAGCTTTTTGCATCAATTTCTAAACTTAGAGTCTTACTAAAATTAATATTTGTAATCTGCTTGGAAATTTCATTTTTATCTGTTTATGCATAGCCCATGGAAATTAAATATGTTTATGTTGTATATATAAATTTCATTATGCAAAACATGTTTTTTAAAGTATTTTAAATGCTAAAATCCTTGAGCGAAGCATTATGTTCAAAGTCAAAGTAATTGCTAAGGATCCAAGTTTAGAACATTAAGATATTTGATTTTTTTCTTTTTCTTTTATAGGTGTAAAAGGCTTAATCTCCAGCCTTTAGCTTACCTTTGGCAGAGAAACCAGGAAGATTTGCTCCATGAAATGATATCATCCAACATTCAAGCAATCATCATCAAAGTAGCAGCTTTGGGTATGTAGCCAGACTTTGAAGGGTTCTCTGTGTTACCACACAGATAATCTGAGTTCACTAAGAAGGAATTATAAAAGAAAAGGAAGAATGATTTATAATATAAAAATGTGGAGTCAGACGAAATAAATTGAGTAAACACTGTATATGAAGAAAAAAGAAGTAATAAATTGAGTAAACACTGTATAAGAAGAAAAAAATTTAAAATGGAATTTTGGTTATTTACCAAAGTAATTAATAGTAAGCCTCTTATTTAAAAAAAAGTATGTATAATATCTCTAAAGTTAGTATTGTATCATAGTCCTTTAATTCAAGTTCTCTCTATAGGATTTGCAATTCAGGTTCACACTACACAGGAAATGTAGGTTGATTTTTATTGAAGCTTCTTAAAATCTGTACTTTACATAACCAGTGACATGTTCCTTGTATTTTATTAACATTTTGACTAATGCTAAAATAGAATGATGGCTTTGTTGTGGTATCAGGAATAAGCAGGGTAGTGGGTTTTGTTGGGGATGATAAGAAAACCATGTTTGAGAGAATGTCATTTGATCAGTTAGCATAGACACAACAGGCAGGTGGTAATCTGATTCAAATATGGATATTACATATGAACACATTTAATTTGTTATTTTGAATTTTTATAATTATATTCATTTTCTGAGAAACCACAGGGTTGAGCCCAATATATTTATTTCATGAACCTATTACAGTAAATGCCCTGGAGCCTCAGGGTTCTCAAAGCCTAAATCATGTACCTCATTTGAGAGTGTTTACCTTGCTGATCTCTGAAATAACGAGGTCTCAAGCTGTGGAGGATTTGCAGACAAATTCACATTTTTAAACAGCACTAAAAGAAAGATCCTATAATATTTCTCCTTGGTAAACACTAAGCTCTCTTCTTATATAAGTCAAGGTATTTTCTTTTGTAGAAAGACTTATTTAGAAAACTTGCATTTGACCTTACAGCTTGGGATGATGTTTTGTTTGTTTGTTTTGTTTTGTTGAGAAAAGATTGCTCAGCAACTGTTATGATTGAAGTACTCACTATAGATATATTTGTTGTATGCGGTCTATATGAATCTAGATACAGAATATACTGTCACTTTTTCCAAGAGAGAGCTGTTGATTTTCTAAGATTGCTTAATTCTATAATGAAGCTCATATGACATCTCACTGAACAGTAGTACATATTCTATCTCCTTTACTATTAGAGAACAAAATGAATTAGAACCCAGCCTCATTAGGAAGTTAGAGCCATAGAAAACTGAGCTAAGTAGTCCTCAGTGACAAAATATATGTCTGATTTTAACATTTACAACACAGTTTCTGTTGATTACCTGTAAGTGTAAGAAGATGGAATTTATTCTCAAGAGCAGTATTAAAGAAAGGTTTGTTGAGTGGCACATTGCTTCCAAAGACACAGAAGCATAAATGTTATGATAGAGGTTTCCAAGTTCTCTCCCTCCCCCACATTTAAAATTTTCAGAAAAGGTTTCAAGCAAAAAATGGTACAAGAGGATATTTCTTTGGGGAGAGGGAGTCAGCAAAGCTTAATGGCCAATTAGATTATGGGATGACCTTAGGAAAGAGCTGGTTCTACATGGAAATAACTTTGTTTTTATTGAGGTATAATTAACATATAACATAATAGTTTTAGGTCTACAACACAATAATTTGATAAATATATTGTGAAATGATCACCAAAATAAGTCTAGTTTACAGCTATACACATAAAATAGGTTTTTCTTATGGTGAGCACTTTTAAGACTGCTCTCTCAGCAACTTTCAAATATACACCACAATATTATTAATTGTAATCGCTGTGCTGTACAGAATGTTATTTTATACCTTGAAGTTTATTCCTTTTGACTTTCTCAACCTCTTTCACCAATCCCCCACCCCTGCATGTGGCACCCACTAATCTGTTCTGTGTAACTATGAGTTTGCTTGTGTTTTAGATTCCACATATAATGGTGATTATACAGTATTTGTCTTTCTCTCTCTCTCTCTGACTTTTTTCGTATAGTATAAAGCCCTCAAGATCTATCCATATTGTCACTAGCGGCAAGATTTTATTCTTTTTATGACTGAATAGTATTGTGTTTCATATATATGCATATCTGTGTGTATAGTGTATCCATTTCCTTTATCCTTTCATCCACACTTAGATTGTTTCCTAAGTGTTGGCTATTATAAATAATGCTGCAATGGACACAGGGGCTGCATGTATCTTCAAATTAGTGTTTAGGTTTTCTTTGGATAAATACCCAGAAGTGGATTTGCTGGTTCATTTGCCGGTTTTTAATATTTTGTTTTGCATAGTGACTGCACCAGTTTACCTCCCAGCACATTGAACCAGGGATCCTTTTTCTTTACCTTATCACCAATGCTTGTTATTTCTTGTCTTTTTGAGAATAGCTATTATAACAGGTATGAAGTGATATCTCATTGTGGTTTTTATTTATATTTCCCTGATGATTAGTATGTTGAGCATTTTTTCATGTAACTGTTGACCTCTTTGGAAAATGTCTATTCAGATCTTCTGACCATTATAGTCTCCTTATAAACATGTTACAAACTTGATGGCAAAATTGTTTATTTAGAAATATATTTCTAATAATTGTGTTAGTGACCTTGATGTCTTACAGGCATCTGTGAATGCATGAGACTTTCACATTAGCAGCTTAGTGTCTAAAGAAGTTTCTGGTTTAGACTTACAAAAAGAACCATTTGCACATTAGTTTTAAGGACAGTCCTGCCTTTTAGAAATATTTATTTTTTGATTATATAATTATTGCATGATGATATCCTTGCCATACAGTATTGTTTTCATAGGTTAAAAAAAAAAAAAAAAGATTCCATGCTTTTCTATCCTCTCCTTTACTGCCAACCAGCTCTTTCCCAAAGATACTGATGGGAGTGTTAACTAATCATCTTTGTTGATCATCTTTGTTTGTGTTTGTGTGTGTAGAAATTCTGCTTGTTTTGTGGTATTGTAAATATTACATGAATAGTATCTGTGTATTAATTGATTGTGACTGACATTTTTTATTCAAGATGGACTTGTTTGATTTGTTTTTCAGTAACCTTTTATAGAAGTATAACATAAACATACAAAAGTGCACAAATTCTTAGTGTACAATTTGATGGATTTCCACAAAGTGAGCGTACTTAATGTAATCTACACCCAAGTTTAGATATAGAGCATTGTTAATAGTCCTCCTAATCAACACTTGTCCTCCCAAAGATAATAGCTCTCTGACACTTAAAACTATAGATAGTTTTTTTCCTGGTTTTGAATTTTGTAATTATGACTCATACAGTATTTTACTATTATGTCTGTTTTCTTAGCTCAACATAATGTTTATGAGATTCATCCACATTATTGAATGAAGCAGTTTATTTATTTCTCATTTATAGTGTAGTGTCCTATTATAGGAATATACCAACTGAATTAACCATTCTATCATTGATGACATGTAGATATTTTCTAAATTAACATGATTATAAATATTTGGGTCCACTTGTATGTTTTCTGCCTTCTATCTAGAGGTTCCCAATTCTTCAAGAAACCCAGTTTTCTTTTGGTAGAAAATGATATGTACTTGTGTGTGCGTGTGTGAATATATCTAATGTCTTATGAGTTCATGATATTTAAATCAAATTCAGAACTACAGAAGAACTATAATAATTCTGTGTTCCATCTGTGCTTCCTTTCTTCCACAATGAAAAATCTTGATTCTCAAAGATATAGATATTATTTATTAGAAAATCCCATAATTAATGAGAATAAAAAGACCAAGTACAGGTCTCTAACCCATTCTTTGCAATAACTGGGATAAACATCTCGGAAAGAAAGAAGAATCTGTATACTCTCCTTATAAACATATTCCAAACTTGATGTAAAAAATAAACAAATGAAACAAAAATCCATTGGTATTTTCTAGTGGGGAAGAAATCTTTTTTTTTTTTTTAAGAGTGAACATCTGACTGTAATATGCTCAAAATCAACGTACATTTTTATACATTTCTTAAAGCATTACATCATATAATTTTTTTTTTTTTTTTTTTTGGTTTTTTTTTTTTTTTTTTTATTCCCCATACAATTGCAATCCCCCATTCTGACCCCAATCCCTCCCCTCCCGCCCCCCACCCCCCAAAAAGTGTCTCTGGTTCATAGTTTTTGTTGATTTTGATTTTCACTTTCTTATAGTTATTCATTTTCCTGGTCCCTTATTTAAGTTTTCTAGATTCCTGCTATGAGTGAGACCATCCGGTATTTTTCTTTTTCTTTTTGGCTTATTTCGCTGAGCATGATCCCTTCCAGCTCCATCCATGTTGCTGCAAATTGCATGTGTTTATCTTTTTTGAATGCTGAGTAATATTCCATGGTATATATGTACCACATCTTCTTGATCCAGTCATCTATTTTTGGGCATTTGGGCTGTTTCCAAAGCTTAGCTATTGTAAACAGTGCTGCTCCAGTCAAAAAATGGACAGAGGAACTAAAAAGAAACTTCTCTGAAGAGGAAATGCGAATGGCCAACAGGCATATGAAAAAATGTTCAACATCACTTGCAATCAGGGAAATGCAAATCAAAACTACCATGAGATACCATCCTACACCAGTGAGAATGGCACATATTAAAAAAACTAGCAACAACAAATGTTGGCGAGGTTGTGGAGAAAAAGGAACTCTTCTGCACTGTTGGTGGGAGTGCAAACTGGTCCAACCACTATGGAGAGCTGTGGGGAAGAAATCTTATCTTTAAAAATGGCTTTTAGGGCCTCCCCCCAATGGTGCAGCGAGTTGAGCACCGCGCTGTAAAGCTGTCTGCAGCCTCTGCAGCACGGGTTCAATTCCCAGCCGGCCAGGGAGAACCCACATGGCACAGCAGACCTCTCCTGCCTCGCCCGCTGCTCCCCTCAGCAGTGTCTTCAGTCCGTCTGCCTGTTCTGCTCCCCACTCTGTCTCTGGTGAATTCTCTCACCCTCCCGCACCTCTGACTGCACCCCAGTTCTTGCATAAAAAAAAAAAAAAACTAATAAATCTTAAA